CCTCTCCAATGGACTGGGATAGCCTGGTCGGTAGGGCGCTGGGCCCATGCCCGAGAGTTCGTGGGTTCGAACCCTGCCGGTCGAAGACTCCCCGACTATTGTAAATGGTGATTGATGAACGTTAAATCTGTCGACTCGCAAAGTTCTCCATGTTCCCATAACAAATCAATACCTCTGGGGATACTGGATTGGAGATCGATCGTTCTCTGATTCAGGTCAAAAATTACGTTCTGTGGATGAATAAATGAATGGGTCCACCCTGTAAACGGGTGTGACGTATGGGTGTGGCAGAAGTCGAGTTCTTGGCCATAGATGGCGCCACTGGAAAACAAGAACAATCGCACCCCTCAGCCTAAAACAAAGCATACGTCAACAACAACAATCCTCTCCAATAGTGAAAGCAATTAGGTATAAAATAGTAGTTGGCATTTATTTTAGCAAAGAAGTAGCAAACTATCGAAATTTATCGAATCGTTTGAGAGGAAAGAGAGACTAACACTGAAACTCGATTGCCGGGAAATTCAAATGTTTTTCTAACTATCTAAGACGCTTGTTCACTCATTCAAACAGGTTCAGATATTTTCAGTTTACTTTCCTCAGTAGTGGTTCGACAGATTACAACCTAGCTTTCTCTTCCCTTCACTTTATATTAATTAGACTCCCTCAAATGCGTATGTTTACTTTATTTTTGATGTAAAAAAAAATTCTGAAAATATTCAGTGTGTATACAGTACTTATGTATACGTTATATTTATTTAGATTCCCTAAATGTCATTCGTCTAAAATCATAGTTAACTGTATGACACATCGCTAGCATAGGAGAGCATAATTATGAAATCAAAACTTCATAACGGAAGATAGAAGGTTGAAAAATATTACAGTTTATCTTTTAATAAATATTACCTTTCAGGATGAATATTTTACAGATATTTCTTGCTCTAATTTAAAAAAGGTAATTAAACTTCATATAAAATGATAAATTGTATTGCCTTTAAAACATTTTTGTATTGAGGCAACTGAAGAAATTTTGATTTTCATGCGATTTAACAAGATTTCATACAACTTTCTGGCTAATAGAAATCCGCCAACAACGAAAAACAATTTTATACAAGGCCCCAAGTACACCTAATATTAGATAACATCAGAAAATCGGTAAAATCTAACGTTATCATGCACAACTTCTAATATTAGAAAGATACAAGAGATCGCTGTTTGCTCAGCATTTTATAATATTAGATTCTATGCAAACTTATATTATCTGGAGTTCGCGTACGCGCGTTACCATGTTATCTAGAGATTGTGAAATGTTTAATCAAAAATTTTAAAATAACTCACCTTTACTGCTAAAATTTTTTCGCATGAAGACTTAAATCTTTTCTTTTTATAGTTAATAAAATAATTATGGCTGATTTTAAAAAAAATAGTAAATTGACGTCAATTAAAAAAGGAAAATTCAAACCTTAAAATTTTAACACTCAGAAGTAAAAGTTCAAAATGAACCATGGAAACAAATCTCCTATTTCTTTTTCAAATAAATATAGCAAACGAATTTAGTTTTAAACATTTTCGCGTAAGCTTAAGAATAAGAAAGAAGCGAACATACTTTAAATTTACACGTATTAAAAATAAATAACAATAAACTTTATTAGAATAACCATTTTACTAATAGTTAAATTTATTCTTAATGAAGATATAGAAAAAAAGATGTTTTTAAAATGTGAATTTTTCACTTTCGTTGGAAATCATAAGCTAGTAATGCTCAAATTGTTTCTAAAAGAGTAAGGAGACTGCAGTATATAGTCAAAAGCTTCTTCATCATTCCATCATCAGCAACAGGTATTCCGTTTTTCTTTAGTTTCTCATTATCAGCAAACTGAAGACTGCGTTTATTACTAGACTGATAGAATCTGGAGATTTGATAGATATTCAATATAATCTATTTACTTCGAATTACACCGTGAATAAAGTTCTTAAATATCAGGTCTTATTTTAGTAACTGGAGCCAGAGAATTCGTTCGTTCGTTCGTTGTAGTGGAACTGGGCCCCTGAGACCTCATGATCCTTTTGGAGTCAGAGAATGCTCGCAGCATTTGGGAAGCTCAGTACTCTTATACACTTTAACAATACCGATGGCGATTATTTTCTGACTTGTATTGATAAAAGATATTAAAATAAAAGATGTTTCAATTATATAGACCGAGGTGTTCAAGTGTTTTGATGTAGCTGACCGCTTCCCATACTTGCATAGGTCCCTCTCTGGCCAAACAGAGTCGCTGTCTTTTCAAACGCTCTAAAGCATGGAGTTAGCAGGCTCGAATCTTGCCATAACCGCTAATGGATTTTTGTGCTATTCTTCTTGAACTGATACCATCTGTTCTATTGTATTGAGCAAGCTTACATGCATATGTGCGACAATAAATAAATATAGTCAGCTGCTCTTCAAATTGATAAGAGTTTATTAGCCCTTTTTGTAATGAGTACACGAGCCTACATTTGTCAGAACCTCTTGGTGTCACCGTTCCACCCAGCTCTCTGTAGGGCTGAGCTAATTTGTCCGAATCCCACCGTAGCCCTGAGTGTATCTTTGTGATGCTCTTCTCTAACTTGTACTATCAGTTCTTCTGATAAATAAGGGATTACAATCCATATGTGTAATGAGCCCACAAGCCTGCACATATGTGTGTTACAATAAATAAATAGTTTGCACTTAGTTAAGTAAATAACCAATTTTGCCCAGCATGAAAATTTAGAACTTTGTGACATTAAAACCTACATTCAACCGTAGAGTCCCGCAGTGGACTGATCGTTAAGACACGGTTCCCAGCAGATCACCGAAGTCAAGCATCACTGGCTGCGGTCAGTGTGCGGGTGGGTGACCACTTGAATCAGTCTGCGCAGGGACCGAGGGTATGCGGTATTGGTCCTCGTTAAACTGTGCTACCGTAAAGTGCTTGACTTCGCGCGCAGGGCGTCGGGCTACCGAAGCGGGGGTGCCATCCCTTCCGCAGAGGATCAAAATTGTGATGGCATGTCTTCGGATCATCCCCCGGGATGTTTCCCAGACCGTCGCCAATAGCCCATTGTTCAGCTCTAGTGCGACGTAAATTAACAGCAACAACAACAGCAGCAGCAGCATCAACCGTAGAAGCGAATATTAGACAAGCTCTTGTTTAATCTAAGGCGATCGGAGGAAGTTTTTGAGGATAAATATTTTTCACCTACCAGGTTCTCATTCGTATGGATGATCGACTGAATGTAAACAATAACGAACTTTCTAAAACCGGGAATAATTCAGAAAACTACCGATGTTTCCCTCCGCCTATGTTATGCTTGCGCGGCGGTGTGTGAATAATCTTAATATTCTAGGACGCTTTATTATTGTGATTTCTGTTTAAATTTACATGTAATTTTACCATTCATAAGAGCTTTCTGTAATTTATAAATTCTAAAAGGTCATAAGCCAGAAACAAATTTAAGAAAATTAATATCACAGCATAAATTAAGTGTAAGGTTTGCCAGGTTTTGAATGTTATCCCTTATTTAGCTATATTTGTGTGAAATAACGCAATTTGTAATTTTCTGGTAGCTTCATAGCATGCTTGCTGAGTCTTTTCATTTGTAATTTGTTTCCTTGAAAGTTTACTTAAAAGAACGCGTTTTAATGAAAACACCACAAGTAAACTGCTGTTTGTAGAAAATGCAACACCATGAAAGAATCATCAGAATCAAATGAAATTTAATGCAGAAACGACTTGTACTGATACAAATAAATGATGAAATTTTCAAAACAAAAGAAACAAATTAAGCGTCCGAAATCAGTATTTGGTGCAGCCACCACGCGCTGCAATAAGTGCTGCTATACGACGTGGCATGGAGTCAAACAGATGTTGAATATCTGCTTGAGGAAGAGAATTCCATATCGCTTGTATGCGCAACCAAAGTTCGTCTTTGGAAACTGCAGGACGCGGATCACGAGTGAGACGCCGACCAACCATATCCCACACGTGCTCAATAGGCGACATATCCGGCGAATAAGCAGGCCAAGGAAGANCATCTCATAGTGCGAAAGTATTTTTAATGCTTTCATTTTAAAGGAAATGTTATTATTAAACTAAAAACTTGTTCCGTCTCATCTATAAAAAAATTTCATCCGATCATCCTCTTCCTAACGTCGCCGCCATTTTTATTTACATTTGTATATGTCATCACATAAAATTGAAACGTCATAAAAAGCAAACGATCTGATTGGTTCATGAAAGAAATTGCCTGAACGGTTGCAGATATTTCGTGCAACCGTAATTTCTATATCACACGAGCGTTTTTTGGAGAAATTTCACTTGCAGTTGCACTTACACTTGCAGTTACACTTGCAGTTGCACATATTTTCTCTCGTGTGATATAGCCATAAAACAGGAAAGAATTCAGAAAACTACCGACGTTTCCCTCCGCCTATGTTATGCTTGCGCGGCGGTGTGTGAATAATCTTAATATTCTAGGACGTTTTATTATTGTGACTTCTGTTTAAATTTTCGCGTAATTTTACCATTCATAAGAGTTTTCTGTAATTTATAAATTCTAAAAGGTCATAAGCCTAAAACAAATTTAAGAAAATTAATATCTCAGCATAAATTAAGTGTAAGGTTTACCAGGTTTTGAATGTTATCCCTTACTTAGCTATTTCTGTGTGAAATAGCGCAATTTGTTATTTTTTGGGTAGCTTCATAGCATGCTTGCTGAGTCTTCTCATTTGTTATTTGTTTCCTTGAAAGTTTACTTAAAACAACGCGTTTTATTGAAAACATCACAGGTATTATTATTAGATTACAGGTATATTAATTAGATTTCACTCTTTTTCAAGCTTAGACGTAAAAATCAGTCGGAAGCAGTAACCCGGAAAACTTACGACGAATTTTAACGCCCAGCGCCATCTTTGCCTAGTTTTGCACAGTCAGCAAGATCTCGAAAATCAAATATTTATGAACTACTACTTCTACTAATATCACATTTTCCAATGTAAATAAACAAACTGACTGCTATAAGAATTAGGCGGCTCTTCGTCGAGATTACAACTACTTTCAGAAGCAATTAATTGTCTAGATATCTTCCTTATTTATTGATTTTCAAAGTATTAATTTTTGAATTACAATCATGTCTGGTATATGCAGATTAAGGCAGTTAATCCCAAAAAATACAGCTCTTTTTTTATGTGATATGCAGGAAAAGTTTGCCCCAAATGTGCAATATTTTCCTGCTATTGCTAATGTTGCTTCACGTCTTCTTAAAACAGCTAGAATTTTAAAAATGCCTGTTGTTGTAACTGAACAAAATCCTAAAGGTTTTTATCTCTGCTTTTTTTCATTCATAGAAATTGTTTTTTCTAGTTTCATACTTGTGTTAATGAATACTGTGTAAATTTAAAATTAATGTCACACATATTTAAAGAATTTTGCATGCATATATTTGCATGTTATATTTCGTTAAATTAATAATGATTTGAATTGTTTAAATTATTTTTAAGGGATATTTAAGAGAAAAAAAAAGGTTGTTCTACAATTTAGTCTACTTAAAGAGGTTTAATGATGTTCATTAATTAATACATTTTGTTACTCTGCTGTTTCCTGCTTTGAGTGTAATACTGTTAAAATTGCTAAAACCGTCTACCACAGTACTTATATTAGGTACCTATTATCTTAATTATATATCACAGAAATTAACAGTTTGGCGAATTTTTTTCTGCCCCCCTAAATATCGGATAGTATTATAATTTCCTTAAAATGGTTGAATATATTGATTTAATATTATGTAATAAATAGGAAAGGAAGAGCAAAGTGGACTATTGTATTGTCTGTAAGTTCGAAGTGCTGGACATCCTTACTAGAATAAAGAATCCTTACTAGAATCCTTACTAGAATGTTTATTTAGAATTTAAAAATATATAAAAATAAATATTTTTAAAATTTTTTTTAATTTACTTCTTAGAAAAAGAAGTAAATTGTTAATACAAATGTTAGATGTCTATTTGTCTTTATTTTTTGTAGAATGCAGATTCTTTTGTAATTTTTTTATCAAAATGCTAATTTTTAACCCTAAATTTTCTAGCATGCTTTACGTTTCGTTTGATCATCTGAAGTATATGCAAGCATTTGAGCATTATTTTATGTTGCTAAAAAATTAGATAAAATTGCAGATCCTTATTTGTTGCTGCTTATAAATTTATGCAATTGTGCAGACATAAAACATTATTTACTTACATTTTATATTTAACAAAAAAAATTTTTTTTTTAAATTTATCCTTTTTTTTTTGACGTTTTTCTTATTAAACTATTTTATTGTAACTATTATATTAGAGCAAGTAGCTTAAAAATAAATGGTTAAATAGCATAGCGAGTCTAAAAAAAATAATAAATAAAAAATAATAATAAATAAATAAAAAATTTTAATCTTAGTTATTTATTTTAACTTTTTCTTTTGTTATTTTAAACAGTCTTAGAATAATGAAATTTGGTATTTATCTGTTTCAAGGAACCTTAAAAGGCCTTTACAACTATGTATATCTATATTGGATACCTACTACCACAATTACTTAAACACCACTTGTTTCAATATTAGTATTTCATTTTTTGGGCCTTTCAAAAGAGAGAAGTACAATCTAAAATTATTAATCATTATTAGAAAATAATATATTTTTTAGAATCGTAAAACAGTTTAGTGTGGTAGATGTACCTCAGTTCTTAGTCAATAGGCTAATTTGTTTTAACCACGAGATTCTCCCCTTCATATATTAAAGAAGCCATTCTGACTCGAATAGCCCATGAACATCATGATTTCAATTAATGTTGACATAATTATGTACACATTAGTACACATACTGTAAATAACATGCGTGTGTGCAGAAGCACTTTTTTCTGATTCTTGGAAAGGTTAATACTTGAGAAAATTATTGCTATTAATTTTCATTATATTTAACTCTCATCTTTTCTTTGTAATTTTGTATATTTTGCAGGTCTTGGCAATACTGTCAAAGAAATTGGACTAGATGATTATCCTGACATAAAACCTTTTAATAAAACTTCCTTTTCTATGGTGACTCCAGAGATTGAAGATTTCCTAAAGAAAGAACATCCTAATGTAAACAGTGTTATCATTTGTGGGATTGAGTCTCATGTTTGCGTACAATGCACAGTTGAAGCACTCGTCAATCATAACTTCAACGTTCATGTTGTTGCTGATGGCTGCTCCTCTCGTAGTATGGTAGATCGGTATGGTATAATTTCTGAAAATTATCGTAATCCTATTTCAAATAAATTGTGGTAACTAATTTGTTATCAATATACTGTTTGTCTACGATTGGTACTCTGCGAGACATTCGTCTGGAGCTGTGGCGGTGACTATGGTAACGAGGTATGATTATTTCAAGTAAAGCTGCGGGGTCTCTCTTTAGGACTGGTTTCGGCAGAAGAAGAGGAGACCTCTTCATCGAAGACACCCTCCCTAAAGTGCCCTCTTCTTGTTTCCATAGCACCAGACTGCCGCAGACTTAGTGGCGGTCAGAGTACCTATCTTAGACAAACAGTACGTCCTATGTTTCTTGATTTTTTTTCTTCTTCTTGCCAACAACTTCAAGGCCCCCTTTATTTTTGGTGCCACTTATGTCACATACGAAAATGGACTCGGGTATTGCAGCCCTATTAAATTCAAAGTTCACTTGTATTTGAAAAGCATATGCATTTCAACAATTAAAAAAACGTATAACAAATAAGTTTCTAAAACTCATTTTATTTGAATTTTTTAATATGTATGCCTATTTGTATGATTGTATAGTTGATAACAGAATATTACTGCATTCTATCTCTATTGTGGTCCATATTTTTAATATTTGCATATTTTTTTAATGCAAATTACAAACAACTGAACAAATTACAAACAACTAAAATTTAATTATTCTAAATTAGATTTAAGAAGATCCATTTTCTATTACATAAGAATTAATTTTAAGATATTTCTTTTGAATTTTTTATTATTTGAATAGAATTATCTGATTCTATTCTAATCTATAGAGCTAACTATCAATTAAAGTTTCATGTTGAACAATCTTAATTTAAATCTTTCTCAGATTCACAAAATTTTAGAAAAATTTAGAAAAAAGAAATTCTTACTCAAATTCTGTGTGACCCTACCATGGATCCTTGGTGTTCTGTGGAACACCTTTTGCAAAATGTTGAAAAAGAACATAAATTGATAAATCTCTATTCTCTATAGATAAATCTATATTGATAAATCTATAGATCTGTATTCTCTTTTCTAGAATGTATTCTTTTCAAAGAATGAAGTCAATGGGAGCATGGCTGACAACCAGCGAAAGTGTCATCCTTGGCTTAGTTGGTGATTACACTCATCCAAATTTTAAAGAAGTTCAGAAATTGATTAGAGAACTGCCTCCTGATAGTGGTTTACTCTCATTTGTACCACATTTAGGGTAAAGAAGGTATATTCATTTTACTTGTTGGGTGTATTTAGTTTATTTGTTTCTGAATTCACAACAACTAATTAAAGCATACTACTTTCATATACTAATTTGTTTTTGAAGTAATTTTGCCCACCATCATATTAAACTATAACAGGTTTAAATGGGAAATCTCTCTAAAGCACGTTAGTTTTCATAAATTGCATTGATCTTTTGCAATTAATAACGATACATAATACAGTTATCAGGCATGTGATTCTTCTGCTAATTCTCAGAATTCCGCCAATCTCAAGTCATCGATTCACAGACTTCCGTGAACCAATAATTTATATTCCAACAATTTTCTTTTTAGAGTTCCACTAATCTAAAATTTAAATTTTGTTTCTTATGCAAAATTTCGTTAATGAAACATTTATACCACCCTTACAAGCACCCCCTTCTCTTTTTTTCCCTAAGTTTGAATTCACGCGCAGTAACTTCTTTTTTTTTTTTTTTTTAATGCAGATTTGCTAGAGAAAAGCGAAATTTCAGATAAATTTTGTGAAAACAAGACTGAAAAAAAATTACCTAATAACTTCGGCCAGAATTAATGAACTTCTGAAGCAAATACAAAAGGTTAAAGCTGATAATCTAAAAAGTAATTCCAGAATGGCAAACATTTAAATGATTATTCACAAGAAAAAACTTTTTTTTTCTTCATTTTTCTTTAAACTTTAATTTTAATAAGTGGCAAATAAGTAACAGTAGAATCATTAAATCAATGTGATATAATTGCCCCCTTTTCTTAGCCACATTTAGATCGAATTTTTAATGTAATATTACAACATGGAAATTTCGAATCCATCATTTTAACACGCTTGATACCATAATTAATCAGTATTTATTTTCTTTTGCAATTAATGCAATCAATTTTCCCATTGTATTCAAAATCCCGATATTATTATGACACACAAAATTAAATTCTTTTATTTATTAGTCACTTTTGATGTGGCGATACGATTGTTTTTCCGATCGAGTAATTGCTACTGATAACCACATGGTTTTATAAGTACTAATATTTTCATACAATATTATTGAGAAACGAGAAATTGGAATCTCATATTTGTGCAATTACTTTTTTAAGCGCTTGATTTACATCAAATTCAATGTGGTGCTTCGATCAAGTATTTTCCATTGCCAATTTCAATCAATTTTCTGGCTGTTGTTACTACTGGTTTTCGCCTTTTTTTAAAAAAAAAATTTGGAAGAAAATCTCAATATTTGTAATCTATTATATATAATTCTCTTATGTGGCTCCCAAATTTTGGCTGTATTTCTTTTCCGCCGGTGGCAACGTTTGCTTTGTTTTGTTTACGTTACTATTTCTCTTACACGGCGAATCGACCAATGATTGCCGCTAAAAATGTCACATGCCAAATCTAGCCGAGGTGGCTCAACATGTAGCTCTTTTAAAAACGGAAACTGANTCTTTTCTAGAATGTATTCTTTTCAAAGAATGAAGTCAATGGGAGCATGGCTGACAACCAGCGAAAGTGTCATCCTTGGCTTAGTTGGTGATTACACTCATCCAAATTTTAAAGAAGTTCAGAAATTGATTAGAGAACTGCCTCCTGATAGTGGTTTACTCTCATTTGTACCACATTTAGGGTAAAGAAGGTATATTCATTTTACTTGTTGGGTGTATTTAGTTTATTTGTTTATAAATTCACAACAACTAATTTAAAGCATACTAATTTCATATACTAATTTGTTTTTGAAGTAATTTTGCCCACCATCATATTAAACTATAACAAGTTTAAATGGGAAATCTCATTAAAGCACGTTAGTTTTCATAAATTGCATTGGTATTTTGAAATTAATAACGATACATAATACAGTTATCAGGCATGTGATTCTTCTGCTAATTTGCAGAATTCCGCGAATCTCAAGTCATCGATTTGCAGGCTTCCGCGAATCAATAATTTATATATTGCTAGTTCCGCTAATCTAAAATTTAAAGTTTTTTTTTTTTTTTCAAATTTCGCTTACGAAATATGTATACCACTCTTACAAGCACTCCCTTGTTTTTTTTTCGTAAGTTTTTATTCAGGCGCAATAACTTCTTTTTTTTTTTAATGCAGATTTGCTAGAGAAAAACAAAACTTCAGATAAAGTTCGTGAAAACAAAACTGAAAAAAAAATTGCATCATGACTTGAGCTAGAATTAATGAACTACTAACGATAATACAAAAGTTTAAAACTGATAATCTGAAAAGTAATTCCGGAATGGCAAACATTTAAATAATTGTTCGCTGGAGAAAAAAAAACTTCTTTTTTATTTTTTTTAATTTAAATTTAAATTTTAATAAGTGGCAAATAAGTAACAGTAGAATCATTAAATCAATGTGGTATAATTGCCCCCTTTTTTAATTGCCCATATTTAGATTGAATTTTTCATGCAATATTACAACATGGAAATTTCGAATCCAGCATTTTAACACGCTCAATACCATCATAAATTGATATTTTGGTCTTTTTCTCTTTTGCAGTTAATGCAATTGATTTTTCCCATAGTTTTTTAAATTCCGATATTATTACGACATGTAAAATTAAATTCTTGTATTTATTAATGACTTTTAATGCGGCAATATGATTGTTTCTTCGATCTTCTTTTCTAGTTATTGCTACTGATATCCATGTGGTTAAGTCCTAATATTTTCGTACATTATTATTAAGAAACGAGAAATTCGAATCTCACATTTGTGCAATTACTTTTTTACGCCCTTGATTTGCAGTAAATCCAATGTGGTGTTTCGATTGAGTATTTTCTATTGCTTATTTCAATCAATTACCTGGCAGTTATTGCTACTGATTTTCGCTTTTTTATTTAGAAAAATCTCGATATTTTTAATATGATATAATTTATTACAAAACTTGAATCTGGAAACGTACATTTAATGAACCTTTTTCTGACACGTCTGGTTCATGTAATTTCATCGTGGTACACGTGGTTTCATCAATCTTTTTTCAATTATTGCTGTGAATTTCACAAAATTTTAAAAAAAAATTCTCAATGCAATGCAAAGTGGGAAAAGGAGGGATGTGTATATTTTTAATATATGTATTCTTTTATGTGTTGAAGTGAAAAAAATTATTTGATAAAAAACCTTTTCTTCTTAAATTTTGCAAATGTTACTTTTTGCACAAAAGTTTTTATTTATCTCTGAACAAAAAGAAATAAAAAATTTCAGTACTACAAAAAAAATTTACACATTAAAAAAAATTTAAGATCATTTCACATTTCTTCTTTCAACAATCACATGTCTGAGATTTATATTACATCAAAGCTCAGTAAATGCCCATATTATGAAACTTTTACATTTATTAGCATGTTTGTACTTTTTCATATTATATTTATTATTAAAAAAATCATAATGATTATATTTTCAAGCTTCTTTAAAAAATTCACCTCCTAATGGATCTTTCGTTATCTTTTATTATCATTGTTGTTATTATTTTTCTTAGTTTTCCCATCATGTGGCAAAGTTTTAATATTCTCCGACTCATTTATTGAAATTTTAACACATAACATCATTGCATTAAAAATGTTCTGGAAGTTTTTTTCTTTCTTTTTATTTCAGTCATCCAGTTAATTTTGTTTTTTAAGTTTCAATATTACTTGAGGATGAATTTAATCTATTTCATTGATCAATATACAAAATAGATAAATAGTCTTAAGTGTTTCAATAGTAAAAAACAGATAAATAGTCCAGGTGTTTTATACTGGATAAATACAGTACTTCATAATTGAGGTTAACTTACAAGGGTGGACTAATTGATAAGTTTTATTATACTTTTTCATTAAATTTTTTTTATTTTTTATGATTAAAAAAAACCGTACATCACAAAATATTTGTTGTTTACATCTTAATTACTGATATTCATAAAAATCATTTCAGTTAGTAGTCAACAGCTTTCCTTTTAATATAACTGATAGTATAAAATATCTTGTTTTTTATTTCAGACTTAGCAAAATTTGAAGAATTGATCAGAAAAAGTACAGGATACTTGGATGTTTTGAAAGGTTTATGAATTATTCAAACTATATATACTATGATTAGAATCTTTTACTGGAACATTACCTATCATAAGAAATGTGTTTTTATTTTTGTTATTAAATATGTTGTTAATTTCCTGTAGAAAATTAAAGACAATGTTTTTTCATATGTATATATCTGTGTGTGGGGGCGAGTGAGTGATATATATGTATATATAAACAGTGAAACCTCTTGTGGACACTCCTGCAAAACCAATGCCTCTCAATATGGACATATTTTTAATTCCCTGGGAATCTTCTATGAATAAACCATTATTTACATGAGTCTTTTTTGCCCTGAAACATTATTTTCTATCTCTTCAAACCGAACATTAATTTTCTAAATTTGAAGGAAAAAAACTATTTTTACTTTAAATTAGAAGAAAAAAATCTTTTCACCATTTTTAAAGCATGTAAATTTTTTACCTTATCCATTACTTCAAATATTTTTAAGCTATTTCACTACTAAAGAATCAATGTTCTCCTGTCATTTTGCCTTATCTTTGTAAAGAAAGGAGAGAAAATGATACTGCTCTTATGAAATAAATCGGTCAACACTTTTTATGTGGCCCCTCAAGTTGAAAATATCTTTAATTTTCTTATTAATTTGAAGACAGTATTTAACACAGCTGGGATGAAAAAGAGAACAGAAGTATAATCTTTGAGGTGAGAAATGAAACATTTAGTCAGACACTTGATAGATGATCAATTGTGAATAATCAACTCCATAGGTCGTCATGACTTACAGCTATGCATTGCTTTTTTTTTTCTTCTATGAATCGTGTGAGGTTTACTTTCAAGAAGATATTAACCATGTTCCCCATCAAGTGATAGGTGTTTGGGGATGTAAACCTAATAATTAAAATGGACTGTGGACTAAAAGCTCCTATTCCGTATCATATGTCTAACTTGAGTATCTGCTCTAATTGGAAAATTATATTCATTTATCTGTAGCTGCATCTGGAATTATGTATTTGTATCAAACTTCTTTATATATTATTTTTTATCTTTTTTAAAGTTCCGTGTAAATTTGAGAGCAAAATTTCCCAAAAGTACATTTATCTAACATTTAACTTAGAATATACAGCAATGCAATACTTAATATATAAAACTTTAATCATCAATTTCTAGAAATCTATATCAATACAAGTAAATTTCTCTATATGCTTTTGAATCAATTTAATGTAATTGACAATTTAAATTTTTATCAATTTAGAACAAATTTTAGAAATAGATTTGTATCACAAATGAAATGGTACTTTTGTGTTTTATATTTAATCAGACATCTGTGAAAAAATAACGGAAATTACATTAAAAAAAATTTAATCGAACAAACATTGAAATAATAAATAAGAATATATATAAAACTCTTGTGAAATAAAACACCATTTGCTAAATATAAATTATTGATGCTATATAAATTAAATGTAGCAAAAGTATTCATTGTCTTAATATTATTTAAATTTTCTTTATTACAAACTTGGCTTCAAAAATATTTCTAAAGTTTCTGTTTAATTTATTTTGTTATGGCAATTTTAAACAATAATAATTAGGGAATGTTTGCAATTGATATTTTAAAAAAATAATATTAAATTCAGTTATAATCTTTTAAATGGTATTTGAATAGAGTGTAATTAAATAATATATAATATTTTACTTGCTCTAAATCCCAAATTAAGTATTTTTTTTTTAACAAAATTGGTTTTTAAATTCTGGTAACAGATCTCAATGTATTGTAATATGAGGGGCATACCATCAGATATGTTAATTAATTTTTGCAGATGATATCTTAACAGATTATATCAGATACAAAAAATGCCTTATTTCACTGAATAAACATAGGTTTATACTACAGATTTATATTTTTGATACTTCTTCATATTTGATGTATTAGTCAAATCTAAAATATTTCGATGATTCCATTCTGTTCGGATCACGATTCTATTCAAAATGAAACTGACTGAAAACGGGTCAGAAGATGTATTCCATTAAATTAAATGATTGTGTTAAATTCATTATTGTTTAAATAAAAACTTATTTAACTTAATACACATATTTTGCATGATTAAATTATTTTTTTTTTTCTAAACACTGCTTTATTTTTATAGATAGTGGTTCTAAAAATTTTTTGGAAAAAATAATATTTGCAAAATTGCAAGAAATATCTATATTTAATCATAATTATCTTGATTTTTGTTGGAATAGTCAAATTTAAAATATTTCCTTTCCTTCTTTATTCGTAAGTTTGTGTAAAGTTCAACCATCCATTATCTTAGATTAAATAAAAGTTTGATCGTCGACCAGAGCAAACTCTTCATCATGTCAGATATAAGAAAAACCAATTTTATACAAAAATGTGTGTTTTAGATTCAGGTTCATTTATATAAATGGAAAACACTATTTCATTGAAAACTAAAGTTGAATCAGTTTTATACAAAAGAATTTTGTTTTATTATGAAGAAAGCCTAATATTCGAAAAAGATTTCCATCATAATTATGTTTTAATGAGATGGTTTCTTTATATTTTTTGATAGTAGCTACAAATAATACATACGCAAATATCCAAATTTTCAATTTCTTTTATTTAAAAAAATATAAAAAGGAACAAAAATTAAATTTGAAATTCGAACTAAAAGTTAAATTGGAGGAAATAAATTGTTTGAAAAATATTTCTTCTCGTAGTTAAGAAATATGACAACGGTAGAAAAGTAAACATACTTTAAACAAAATGTTGTACAATAAACTAAAACGTAAATTTTTTAAGCATCTTAAGTTAATATCTAAGATTGAATTACTATAGTGACAGTCAAAATTAAAGAAGAAAAAACAAGGGCTCTCTGAAGAAAACTGATGTGACTTATGCATGGGTGAAGGATTGGGTGGACATAAGCATGGAAGAAGAGTATTTCCTACTAAGGAGGAATGGGCTTAAAAAATTACCAAAAACATATTAACGATTATTTGAACTGCCCTATATAACTGGAAAATCTATCCTCAATAAAAAATTTTACCAATCTGTTATAAAATTATTTTCATTGCCTAAATACATGTGTTACAGATTAGTTAAATTTTTTTGGTGTTTTTTACTCATATAAATTTGTAAACTGAAAAGAGAAGGGGTTAAAATGCATCTGCATGAAGCATTTTATTAAAGAAATTATTGAAAGCCTCTGCACTGTAAAAAAAAATTACAAATTTTTTACTGACTAAACTCCTTACACTTTCAGACACCATAAAAAATTTGGTATCAAATTACGGAATAAAATACCAGCACTTTGGATGCATAATCTGTAAAATCCATTTTACCTCAAAATCTATTTTTACCGTACAATGCTATAAAGTAATTTTTACAGTAATATTTTTTTAATTAGTATAATTCAGTGAATTTAAGGTACTATAAAATATATGGTATATATGATTTTATTTCCTTAACATATTCTGTTAAAAATGAATTCTATGGTGACATGTATCGACAACCGCTAATTTTTACCGTAATTTGATGCGAAATGTTTTATAGTGTACCATTCTCTACAGTTCCACTCAACTTCTGCAGTAAACAATAAATGCATTTAAGATTTGTATTAAAATGTCAAGGTAACGTTTTTTTCAACTGATATGACAACTATTTCAGAAATGTTGACAGATAAAAATTTATATAAATCATTTTTCATTTATTAAATTTTTCCTGAATTATTCAACAAATGTTTAAATTTTGTATTTTTCAAGCAACTGATGCATATTATTATTTTTTTTTTTTTGAAAACTATTGATGTTGCAAAACTTAATAGTTTAAACTTTTTTTATACCATTTTTAAATTAAATGATGAAATATTTCTTTGTAATTATAAGAAATTATTTTTTAATTAATGTTTCTTTAGGTAAGGGTTCCAAAGGTGGGTACTCAACTTTTTATATTTGGTTAATTAATTTTGAAGATATATTGATAAACTCTTACAATATAGCAATCTAAACTTATTGCAAGTAAGATCAAAATCCAGCTCTTTTCAACGACAGTTCAGTGCCTTAACCACTCAAACATCTTGACTTCTTAAAATGTTTACAAAACTAATGCCTTAGTTTGTATTTTAGCACAAAGGTTGCCCACTTTGTGTATTCTTAAAATGTTACTAAGTAATTTTCATGGAAATTCCGAGTCTAAGTTAATCCTTAATAGTTTTCTATTTACATTCGAAAAGAAAAAAATTTACAGATTTTTGTACATGTGTATTTGTGAAAGACGAGTATCATGTCATAAGCGAAAACAACATTTAACAGTTAAGATGTGTTGAAAGAAAAAAGATTTCTGAAGATTAGACAATTTCAAAGATAAAATGGAGGTAATTGATTGAATTTACTGTATTTCTTCTAAAAGGTTGCTTGAATGTATATCTCTACAATTTTTATGTCTTTAAGCAACTGTCACCACAGCCTCAAAAAATTTTTAAAAAAATCTCAAGTAGCACAACTTGAAATCCATTAGATTAAGCATTAGAAAATTTTGTATCTTTTTAAGAAAATACTTTGGTATCAAAATATTATTGTCACCGTCCTAATTTTTTTCGAATACTTATAGATTAATGAAGTTTTTAATTGCACTGCGCAATTTAATTTTGGAAAACCAGCAACAGTTATGTAACTCTTTTAAATATGATCTTTTGTAATTACCTAATTCTTGTCTTATATTTGTAGATGGACAATATGCCTAACTTTCTTTTAAATCTCTAATTAAATTTGATTCAATTAAACTGTAAAATTGTGTTTGCTTACGAGTGAATATCAGTCCATGACTGCTACTTTATTTTTTGTCAATTTATTGGAACTAAGTCCTGCTACGGATAATACAGATATAAGGCGCAAATTATCTAGAAAGAACTGAACAAGCAGTTCAGAGAATTGAGGAACAATACAAATCAGTTAGTAAAAATTAATTTAAATCAGCTATGGAATCTATTGTACTGCATTTCATTGTTTATAAGCAAACTTTAGGCAAAATATATTACTTGAATTAGCTAAGTGATATAAATTGAACTCCATCGGCAATTTCTAGTGTTAGCGAGAAATTGGAGAAGTCCCTGAGGTTAAAAAAATTTGTTCGACTTATTGAATTATTTTGGCACACACAATAGTT